TTTTGGCTAAGAAATGTACTTAAAACTAAAACTACATTTTTATTGTTTAAATTTCAGCTTAAACATTAATTGTAAAATATAAATAAATACATTTTATTTACATTTCATTGGAAAAAAATGTGAATAAAATAAATAATTTACTTAAAAACAAAAGGGGAAGCTAAATTCAGGCGGCTTTGCAGTTTGCATTTTAAATATTTCATAACTAAGCCAAAAATGCTTTAATTTCAATTCGGAAAGCTGTTCTATTTTAGATTTTTTAAGGCTAAAAAAACTGCATACTGCATTTAAAAAATTTTTTATCAAAATTTTTACCAATTTTCGTAAATTCTAATGATGTAACCCCTTACAAAAATTTGAAAAAATTACAAAAAAAAAATTTCTTTCTAAAATGGCTATATTCTCCTGTTGATGTTGATTAAAAATATATATGATTTATAGGGTGGGAAATGATTTCTTCACTAGATAAATATTCTTTTAAATGTCAAAAAACCAATTTAATACCAATTTCCGGCTTATATTTAAGTGTATTAAAGATAAATTAATAGTTTAAAATTTTTATAAAATTTATTTTTAACTAAATTTAAATTATTTATATGACAAATATTTATTTCCCTTTTCTTTAAACCCTGAACAATAAGTATAATCATAAAAACCATAATCTTTAGGCTTCTCTCCACTTAAAAAAAATATGACTTATAACCATATTTTGTTACCTGTCTTCTTGGCCATAAAAATAACAAAGCACCTGAACATCCTCTTGATTGTGATGTGATCTAATAGACACACCTCAACAATAAGTACACAGAACGCTTCACAGCCTGCCAGCTTCACCCAAGTTCAAAGACTCTTCTTCTGAGCCAGCTCTACTGCCGCGTTGCGTGTCAGATGACAAGGAATTTATTTGGCCAAGACAAACACGGGCGAGAATCTTAAATCTACAACACACGCCTCTAATGTCCCCACATTAGTTTTTTTTTTTTTTGGCTTCTAATGACAAAGCCAAACATTAAGTACGCAATTGCCAAAAACTAAAAATGATGATTATTTAAATGGAAATGGGCGAGCATTTAGCGCTTCGATTAGCACAAAATTCTTGTAATAAAATGAGAGAAAAAAACCCTTAAAAATATGCAAAAATGTAAAGGAAAAACCATAAAGATTTATGGATAATTTCAAGAGCAACTCAAGCATAATTCATAGCCAAGTTTAGTTTGTGTTTTAACTACTTAGTTTGTTTGCTTGAAATTTACAACCCCAAAGAGTTTGAAGAATAAATCAAAAACAAACATCAGCGGGGACCTATTTATGGTTTAACAATGCGCTGACGCACAACACTCACACACACAGTTAATGTAATTATATATTTTATAATGGGGGAAACCCCCCTTTCCCCCCCTTTCAAGCCTTAATTGAACCGTTAACAGTTGGGGCGCGTTTTTCGCATGTCTTTTTGGATTTTTTGCGCAGTTTCACAATATTAAATATAGAAATAATGAATATACACACATTCAAAGATTATTTATTGCCAATACAATACAATATCGTTTTCATCAATCAAATGGATTTCAACAGCCGTGTCACCGGGTCCCCGAAATCCAAGTGTTGAGCCCCTCCCTCATTGTTTTTGCCACTCATTATGGTTTATGGCCGACTGCCATCGGATCGGCCTAACATTATATAGTAGTTTGTGTGTATGTGTCAACACCGTTTGCTTACCCCGCCCGACTTTGCTTTTTATATCACAAGGGGTCTCTGTCCTTACCTTCGGTTAAAAATATAAATACATATATAACTTGTAATCTTCTTGCAAATATTTGGCTCGCATTTCAAGTGCACAGGCAGCAGCACAAAAGTTGATCTTGGACGAAAGATTTTTGTGAAAAATAACCAACAACAATGAGCCTCAAGTTTGTGGCCTATTTTTTAGGCTGAGGCTTTTCAAAACAATATTAAGTCAATGTCTAGCTTAACTTTCAGGTCACTTGGGTGGGGTTTTTGTTTAATGTTTTTCTAATAAAAAAAAAAAATTATTAAATAATTTTGATAGGATTTTTTATATAAAAATAATAATAAATTCATTTTAATTTGTTTTTTAAATTTATTAAAACTTAAATTTTGCTTGCCAATTTCTTTTTTTATCTGTATTTTATTTTATATGATTCATTTTTTAATACTATTCTATTTATAATATTTGATTTTAATTATTTTCGATATTTTATTTTATTTTTTTGTTTATTTATTTTTTAATACTATTTATTTTATTTATATTATGTTATTTTTATTGTTATCAATATTTTATTTTATTTATTTATTAACTAGTTTTTTAATTTAATTTTATTTATTTTTAAATATTATTTATTTTATATATTTTTTTTATTTTAAACTTTTATATTTTCTCACGATATATGTAGTAGTAGTAGTAGTTCTAGGTGCCCTTTAAGAGAGCCAATTGCTTTCCTGTCTTCTTTTTATTACAAAATCTTTCGAATTTTCAGAAATTCCAGAGCCTCAACTCTTGATTTCTTGGCTCACTGTATGCGCTTTCCCCTCTCTATATGTAGTTCGACCCATTAACATTTATATTTATATTACTCGATCACATGTCGAACCAACAAACGACCTTCCCGAGAGACAAGAATACCTGATAAAATCTGCTTTAAGTCGGCTTTCATCGGTAGCCGCTACCAAGTTCATCTGGCCAGCCAGGGGATTGGGTGAACTTGGTCAGGCTGTCACCTTGATAAGCTCATTGTCTGGCCCAGGCCTGGCCCATCTGTTGATCTTGTTCGGAGTCAGCTTCCATTTACAAAAAAAAAAAAAGCGTTAAACGCTTGAATGACACGTTCAATTGAATTTCGGCAGCGAGAAGAGAAGAAGTACATATGATCGCTTATACTTATGGCCGTGTGTGTACATTTGCGACCCATTTGTGTTATGTGACGGAGAGGAGGGTTTCTTTTTATTATTATTTTTATTTTTTTCTTTTGGTTTTTGTGATGAAATGCTAACTACAAGCAAATCAAGTGACCTCAATCGTTAAATTAAATTGAAAACATGTTTAAACATTACAGATATAAAGGTAGAGGGGGGCGGGGAGGTAGGATGAAGGGCGGGACTAAATAGTTTGGTTATAATAGCAGTGTATATTATTGTGTGTACAAGGTGTGTGGATATATATTTAAATATATTTTTTTATATAGCTTTAATATATTTTTTTATATATAGCTTTAATTTTTTTTAACGGATTTTTTTTTTGTTAAAGATAAAAAAAATGGCTAGAATGTTAATAAAATATATCTATTTTAATCTTGGATAATTAAAGTTTAAATTTTTGCATTGTTATCTTGAAAAATTAATTAAATTTAATTAAAATTCCCATGCTTATATTATTAAGTTTTATTTTTTGTTGTAATAATTTTTAAATTTGTCTTTAAAGTAATTAGAATATTTTGTGTTATTTTTTATTAAAATTGAAAATTTAATTTGTTAGTTTTTCAATGTAAAATTTCTATAAATTGTTGAGATATTTTCTATACATTTTTGGATTGCTTTCCCCTTAAATTATTTTTGTTTACTTCTTCCAATTTGTATGTCTGTTTTTTCGGTAAATTAATTATATTCCTCGATCAAACACGAATGGTATTTAATTGGCAAACACTTCTTAGTCAAGTACATGCAAATATGTTGGCAAACATTTCCGTTTTATGCCTCCGTCCAGCTCCCACCTTCATCTCCAGCCAGAGGCAGCTCTGCTCTGCTCATGGTCATGGCCGGGTCTTATGTAACCTCCAGAAAGAGAGAGAGAGAGAGATGTGGCCGGATAGTTCCTGCTTGGTCAAGGCTTCGGGGTAGAGGAAGTGGCTGCTGGATGCTGGATGTTGGCTGCCTGATGCTCATGTAAGAGCGCTTCCAGCTTTTTCCTTCGTCGCCACGCAACCCGCAACAAAAGATTGTTGCATGACTTCGGTTACCAAAAAAATAAAAAACTTGTAAAAAATAAGAAAAACAACAACAAAAGCCATAAAAACTGGTTGGCAGACACACAGTCCCAGTCCCAGTCCCAGTTTCGGTTCCCTCTCTGTGGCAACTGGTTACAAGAAAAACGAAAAGCTAAAAGCGAAAATAGCAAAAAATAACAGCCTCAACTTTGTGCAAATAAATCACAAAGAGTTACACAGCTCGAGGGTTAGCGTTTCGAATCAAAAATTAAGTTATTTGAGATATTTTTATAATGATTAAAATGACAAATAGTAGTAACATGTAATAAATACTTGAGATTTTTTAATTTAAACTTTGTTTAGGTATTTAAAATGTAACTTGCAGTTGGCTTTGCTTTTACATTTATTTTAAATATAATTTTTATGATGTTTTGGAAGATTTCTTTATGTTTTATGCATACTATTTATTTAATATTTATATATATTTTATTTATTTCATTTATTTAATGATAAAATCCCAAAATTCCCAAGAAAAATCAGTTATTTCTTTACGAAATTCCTTTATTAACTAAGAAGTACTTAAAAAATTACCAATATCCCTAAGATTTCAGCTTTAAAAATCAATTTAAAAAGCTTTCTGACTTAATTGTTTGTATATTTTTTTATGCATATATTTTTTTACTTATTTACTTAATTTTATATATTTTAAAATCCTAAAATACCCAAAGAAAATCAGTTATTTCCTTACGAAACTCCTTTATTAACTTAAAAATACTTTAAAAACTACAAATATCCCTTAAAATCTATTTTAAAAAGCTTTTCTTCCTTAAAAAAAATATCAAAATAAATATACATAAGTCCATAGGGCATACCTTAGGTCGCCTCTTGAACCTTTTTAAAGCCTCAACTGAATTGCATAATTGCATAATATCCACTTTTTATAGGTTTTCCACATATGACATTGCATATGGGCAACATTCACACTTGTTATTACCTATTTACTCCATTCACACTTTACTGATGGCCGCCGCCCTTCTCCTTTACCCTTTTTTCCAACAGTGGACGATGCTTCCGGTCACTATACATCCGGTTTCTTCTACGGCAACAACTACTGGATGGGTTCATTGGCCCTGTGTGATGCCATCGACGATGGCTTGACTCCTGCTCCCAGCAAGGACGGTAACAATGGCTCATCCTTGGACTCCGCCGCCGCTGCTGCCGCTCCCAGTGGCCTGCCCTTTGCCGCTGCTCACACCCAGGCCTATAGCAGTGTCTACAATGCACCGCCACCCTTTGTGCCCGGCTTCTATGTGATCAAGATGCAGCTGAATGAGACGCTACCCACCCAAGTGGTTAGTAGTAGTAGCTCCTGCAAATAATAATTATAAATGGTAAATAATCTGTAATCCTCTGCTGCAGCTGCGCACCATATATGTGGGCATGTGCCTGCCCTCCAGCTGCTCCATTGCGGACATTGGGGAGATGGGTGCCCGGGCCCATGTGGAGCTGCCATCGCGGGATTTGCGCGTCCTGGACATACGTGTGCCCACCGACAAGGAGTTTAACATTTGGGCGGACAAGACCTTCTGCCTGTTGATGTAAGTATGGGTGGGTAGGGCCAGGCCCAAGCGCTAATGAAGTCTGGAGAGTCCGAAAGCTTTTTTCTTGGTTTTTTTTTTCTTTTATTTTTTGCCCAGTTGGTTTTGGTCATTAGCGAGTTTCGTGTGTGAAATCGAATTATATGGTAAAAAGCGAAACTCCCCTTGTTGACGGTGTTGATTAGCAGGGCAATCTGATTATATATTTCCCTATATATTCCATGGGTTTTTACACAGTAACCAAAATTTGTTATCTTTTATGAAGAAATAACGGCATTTTTATGGCAAATATTATAAAGCTAACAATTAGCAGAAAGAGTTTTTGGGGAATTTGCAAAGTAAATAAATTATATTGTTTATAGGAGCATATACTTTGCTGTTAATTTATAATTTGAAAATTGTAGTTTATACCCTTTGCAGGGTATCAAAATTTCAGTCAGCAGTTTGAAATTTAGTGAATTAATCATTTCCGACCCCATAAACCATATTTATTCTTGATCAGCATCAACAGGCGAATCTTTCTAGACATGTTTGTAGGAAACTAAAATTTGAGCATCATTAAAATTGTTGAAAATTGGAAAAAAATTAAATTTAAAAAATCTTTAAATGTAGTATGCAGGTTTATTAACTTTATAAAAACTAAAAGAAACCCGCTTTCCGAATTGAATTTAAGGCATGTTTGGCTGAGTTACGGATTTTTTAAATTTTAATTTTTCCCAAAAAATCAACAAAAATAAAATTACCATTTTTAAATTTTAAATGCAGTTCTATGTTGGTTTTTCCGTTTTTAATTATTTTTTAATAATATAATATTTACAAATAAAGGGTGAATAGCTTTAAAATATAAAAAATAAAACATCAAATTAAAGAAGAAGCCGCCTGCGCCCCCTAGTAAGCAAGTTCTGAGCCTCTTCCTTTCGTATTCTTAGTTTTATTCATCTGTTTTTTATATAATTAATTTATTGTGTAGAGTTAACCTTTCAATATTCAAATAATTATTTAATATTTTCTAATTTAAAAAAAAAACAACTTTCCACCTTTTTTTTACAGTGTTGTCTCCTGCATTGTCATGGCCCTGATTTGCTGCGGCACCCTGTACGAAATTTACCTGCGCGGCAAGCTCAAGGAGGCCCTGCGTCGCCAGGACAAGGAGATGATGAACAACAGCGAAACGAGCTCGGGGATTGGGTGTGCCTCCTCCGACTACAGCGACACGATGACCGCCCACGATGACCCACTGAAGCAGTCGAACCGCAGCCACGCCCATTCCGAGTCGAGCAACTCCCTGAAGCAACTGGATCAACTGGTGCTCAATCTGCCGCCGAATGACAATGACAGCGGCAACGGGCATCATGTGGACGATCCCGAGCACGAGCATCACCACGACCATCATCATCATCGCAACGGCGGCGGCGTTGGCGGTAACGATACAAGCACCTCGGACGAGCACCTGGAGGGGCATCTCCACGAGCCGGAGAAGCTGAGCATCTACTCGGAGCTCCTGCTCTCCTTCTCGGCCATCACGAACTTTAATGCCATCTGCGATAGGAATGTGGGTGCCGACACCATACCCTGCATCCATGGACTGCGAGCCTTCAGCATGGCCTGGGTAATCCTTGGCCACACATGCATCGTGGTCTTCAAGTACTCTGACAACATGGAGATGCGCAAGGAGGTGGAGCAGAACTTCTTCTTCCAGGCCATCACCAATGGCCCGTTCAGCGTGGACACGTTCTTCTTCATCAGCGGCTTCCTCATCTCGTACATCTACTTCCGGACGAATGCCAAGGGCAAGCTGAATAAGCTGAGCAAGGGCGCCAATGAGTTCACCGCCGGAACAGCACACTTCCTGGGCCTGGTGGCCTACAGATTTATGCGTCTAACGGCACCCTATCTGTTTGTGCTGGGCGTGGTTCAGGTGACCATGAAGTATCTGGCCACCTACTCGATCTTTGATCCGCCGACCATGGATCACATCACCTGCCCGGACTATTGGTGGCGGAATATCCTGTATATCAACACGCTGTTCCCTGTGGATGAAATGGTGAGTGCATGGCTAGGGATGTCTATCGATGGGAACAGTTGAATATCCCCCCTTTTCTTTGCAGTGCATGCTCTGGAGTTGGTATCTGGCCAATGACACTCAGTTCTATATGATTGGAGCCATTATCCTGATCGTGGGCGTCCGCCACTTTAAGCTGTCGGCCATTACCACGCTGGTGTTCCTGGTTCTGTCTTGGATTACCACCGCTGTGATTGCGTTCACCAACAACCATCGACCCAATACGGACGATCCGCTGGCGCTGTTCGACAAGATCTACGACAAGCCCTGGACCCGCCTGGGTCCCTACCTGATTGGCATGGCCGTGGGCTGGATTCTGTTCCGGACGAACTGCAAAATCCGTCTGCCCAAGCTGACGGTGGCCAGTGCCTGGTTTCTGGCCATGCTGAATCTCTTTGTGCTGGTCTTTGGCCTGTATCGAGCGGATTTGTCACAGTTCACGGCCGCCGCCTACAGCTCGCTGAGCCACTCGGCCTGGGCCTTGTCGCTGGCCTGGATTACTATTGCCTGCTCCACGGGATATGGCGGCTATATCAACTCGCTGCTATCGGCGCCCTGCCTGTATCCATTCTCCCGCGTCACCTACTGTGCTTACCTGGTGCATCCCATTGTCATCCGTTCCATGGCGTTGAATTCGGACGCACCGCTGCATCTGGGCGGGGATCTGATGGTGAGTTATTGGAGGGATTTCCCTAGGAATTGTGTTATTTATAAAGGGTATTGTTTTCCTTGCAGGTTGTCATGTTCTTCGGTCTTACGGTGGCTTCCTACTTCCTGTCCTTTGTGGTGTCCATGTCCTTCGAGGCGCCCGTCGTCACAATGCTGAAGATCCTGTCGCCCAGTCGAAAGAAACGCCTCGCCTAAGTCCATCTATGCCCGCGCACCCCAGCTCCGCCCATTTCCGATTATTTATACCCCCATTTATGTCATGTTATCTATTTCTTGTCCACATATTTATGTAGCATAGACTCATCTCGTCGTCTTCTATATCCCTCTCGCTCTACATTCTCTCCAGCACGCTCTCTCTCCCCACACGAGATAATAACTTTTGGATCATCTGTTTTGTTTTCATTATGTGTACATTTTAGTCCTTTAATTTATTCCAAAGGTTTGGAAAAAGGAGGAAGGAGAAACGAGAAACGAGAAACGAGGTAGGAGGAGCCAGGAAGAGAGCCAGAGTTATATATAGTACTTAATAGCTATAATTATATATGAAACTCTAGTACCTAATTTTATAAAGAATCACGTTGTATATACTGTATGCTATATATATTGTTATACATAAAACTTTTAAATAAAAACTGCTACCAAATACAACAAGGTGGGAATCGTTTCATTTATTTTTCGGTTCAGCTTATCAATTTTTTAGATTTTTTTAAAATTATTTTAACTGCTAAAATTGAATTTGAATTTAACTGCCAAATTTGAATTTGAATTTAACGACGATCAGTTTCAGTGTGCCCTAAATTTCGATTCAAAATGGTTTGAAACTCGGACTTTTTATAACAGTTTATACCAGTTTTCGGTTGCTTGCTGCTGATTTCTGTTCGCCTGTTACCCCAATTTGGGAAACGGGCAATTTGCATGGAAATGTTCGGAAATTTGGATGGGCTGCTGTAGGGATGTTATTGTAATAAGGTTGTTGTTGCCATCAAGCTGGTGTTGTCGGCAACAAATAGATATAAATGCATAAAATCAAATATAACAGTTTATACCAATTATTAATTGGATTCAAATGGTTTGAGTCTCCGCTTACTTGCGCCGGCTCCCAAATGGTTTGAAACTTGGACTTTTTATAACAGTTTATACCAGTTTTCGGTTGCTTGCTGCTGATTTCTGTTCGCCTGTTACCCCAATTTGGGAAACGGGCAAATTGGATGGAAATTTTTGCTCACTTGCATCAGTGATGCTCATGGGCATCAGTGATGCTCATCTGGCTATATTGCAATATTAGGGGGCAAAAAAATCAAGCTTAATGGCAGTGATGCGCATGTGCATCAGTGATGCTCATCTAGCTATTTTTTTTGCATTATTGATGATTATATGTATGTATTTTAGCAAAACTGAGTATGCAGTTATGTTAAGCATAGAAAAGGCAATTCAGAACAGCTTTCCGAATTGAATTTCATGCATTTTTGGCCGAGTTGTGTGGTTCACATTTTTATAGGTAAGTATTTTAGCAAAACTGAGTATGCAGTTTTGTTAAGCTTGGAAAAGGCAACATAGAACATCTTTCAAAATTGAATTTCATGCATATTTGGCCGAGTTATGGGGCTTTTTTTTATAAATTATAGGCATCTCACTAGCTGCCAGTGATGCTCATCTAGCTATTTTGCTATATAGCTCATAACTCGGCCAAAAATGCATGAAATTCAATTCGGAAAGCTGTTCTGAGTTGCCTTTTCTATGCTTAACAAAACTGCATACTAGGTTTTGAATTTCATGCATTTTTGGCCGAGTTGTGTGGTTCACATTTTTATAGGTAAGTATTTTAGCAAAACTGAGTATGCAGTTTTGTTAAGCTTGGAAAAGGCAACATAGAACATCTTTCAAAATTGAATTTCATGCATATTTGGCCGAGTTATGGGGCTTTTTTTTTATAAATTATAGGCATCTCACTAGCTGCCAGTGATGCTCATCTAGCTATTTTGCTATATAGCTCATAACTCGGCCAAAAACGCATGAAATTCAATTCGGAAAGCTGTTCTGAGTTGCCTTTTCTATGCTTAACAAAACTGCATACTAGGTTTTGAATTTCATGCATTTTTGGCCGAGTTGTGTGGTTCACATTTTTATAGGTAAGTATTTTAGCAAAACTGAGTATGCAGTTTTGTTAAGCTTTCCGAATTGAATTTCATGCGTTTTTGGCCGAGTTATGGGGCTTTTTTATAAATTATAGGCATCTCACTAACTGTCAGTGATGCTCATCTAGCTATTTTGCATGAAATTCAAAACTGAGTATGCAGTTTTTTTAAGCTTAGAAAATGCAATGAAAAACACAATAATATCAGGCCTGCTCCGGTAATCGAAAACGGCAAGATTTTTTCGTTTTCGTTTTTGAAAACGAGAAATTGGTGCTCCGGTAATCGAAAACGAAAGAAAAACACAATAATATCAGGCCTGCTCCGGTAATCGAAAACGGCAAGATTTTTTCGTTTTCGTTTTTGAAAACGAGAAATTGGTGCTCCGGTAATCGAAAACGAAAGATTTTTTCGATTTGAAAAACGGGCACCTTTTTCTGGCCGGAATTAAAAGTAAATGGCTTTTTTTATATGAAATCAGATCTTATTTACAAAAGGAAAAAAATAGTTTACTCAGTGGTCTATTGATGTTTATTCCACACCACCATAAGATCATTCTGGCAGGTAGTTATTTTATAAAAAATTTATTTCTGACCCCACCTCAGATTTGACAACAAAATTTTTGCCGTGTTCAACCAGTTTTCTCGGTTTGGCGATAGGTCGATAAGTATACCGCAAAAAGTTATCGCCAAGGCTGCCATATTGTTGGTGGAACGAAACATTCAGTTAAAAATACTTATAAAATATAAATGAATACATTAATAACTTTAAAGGACCGCCAAAATGGTTGTTTATAATTAATGCTATTTAATTTTATTACTTAAATGGTCCAAATTAACCAAATAATTATTTGAGACCACCGGAATTAAAACTGTGAAAAGTGTGGCAGCATCTTAGGTGCCTGGATTTGCTTAATTCTACCATTTTTTGCCTTTTTCTGGCTTAGAAAAAGGGCAATTGTAAATATAATAGGCAGTACTTTACGTTGTTTGCTTATTACCAACAACACAAGTTAGCTGCTTGAGCTTGGAGAAACGATGAGAAAACGAAACATCCGATAGCAGAAATTTGCCGAAAACCGGAGCAGCTAAAAACGAAAACGGTTCGTTTTCGCCCAAAACGAAATCGAAAAAATTTTACGATTACCGGAGCAGCCCTGTATATTTTGTTTTTATGTTTTATTTTGTTTTCTTCCTAGCGCTACAGCATTTCTACTTAAGCTAATGGCTTATAATATTATTAATTATAAAACAGCATTACAAATATAATTATATATATTTACAATAACAATAATTTGTTTGTTTTTGTTTTATATAGGGGAAAAAGCTAAGATTTAAGTTTCTGAAAATACAAATTAAATTGTTGGCGGCATTACAGACAGATTTATCGATAGTCGTCAGAGGCAGCGATGTTTTTAAGCAGGTCTCTCCACCCCTGTCGATAGGCACATGGTATTTATTTCAGTATTTCCAGCAATTCTTTGTTATCGATTATTACTCTCAACTTTTTGAGATTTTTTAGGACGAGAGACTAATTTGCATCTGGCAGCACGTTTTCTAGCACAAGGAGGCGCCGGCGTTGTAGTTGCTAGAAACTTCTGTTCTTCAATAATAAATAATATGGAAACGGTATGCCGCCACCCGCCGGAACTCAAGAAATCCAATTCCCCAACTCTCAATTCTCCCCCTGCAGCTAAAGAACGATGTGGCGGAGCTGGCCGCGTTTCTGGAGCAGGCCAAGAGCGTGCGCGTCAGAGGCGTGCTGACCGCAGCCAAGGCGGAGGCCGAGCGGGAAATTGTTAACCTGGAGATGAAGGCGCGCATTGCGGCGGAGCGCGAGGCGGCGGGCACGGAGGCCAAGAGGTGAGTGTCCGAGTGGTGTTTCCCCTGCTCTCCTGTCTAATGACCTGCAACCTGCAGATATCTGCACGAGCTGACGGACTATGGCTGGGACCAGAGTCCCAAGTTTGTAAAGCTCTTCATTACCCTGAACGGCGTCCAGGGCTGCACGGAGGAGGATGTGACCGTCAACTATACGGAGAACTCGCTGCAGCTGCATGTCCGCGATCTGAATGGCAAGGACTTTGGCCTGACTGTGAACAATCTGCTGCACGGCATTGATGTGGCGAAAAGCTATCGCAAGATCAAAACGGACATGGTGGCCATTTACCTGAAGAAGGCAAAGGAGGGCGAAAACTGGGACGTCCTCACCTCCATACAGAAGCGGCTCAAGCAGAAGCAGGACACCGAAATGGGCAAGGATGGAGATAATGCCGAATCGGCGCTGGTGAACATAATGAAGAAAATGTACAATGACGGCGATTCCAAGACCAAACAGATGATTGCCAAGGCCTGGACTGAGAGCCAGGACAAGGCAAAGATGGGCGGCGGCCCTGGCGCCGGGCTGGATGCTCTCGGAGATCTCTAGGACCGAATGATGAATAAATGTAATGATTACTGCTTCAATTCCAGCACACACAAATACAAACCTGTGGATAAATAAAGCTAAATAAGTTTAAACACGGATTGTTTGTTTTTTATATATATATATATATTTATTTTTTTTTTTTGTTGTATATATGTATAGGCTTTTATTACTTAAATTCTTCGTGATTAAAATCATTGAATTAATTATTATGCTGCTAATCTCTATCTCTATATTCCATTTGTAATAGTTAGTTTGCTTTCGAAATTAATTGATAATTATACTTTCTCTTGCTTGTATTTAAAATACACTTTATATGTTCAAAGATATATATATTATATTTGCTTATCGATCGAAATCTTTTGCCAAACCAATTGTTTAATTGCTTAATCTAGAAATATTTTCAACGCCCTCTTGTGTAGTGTGTCTGTGTGTGTGTGTCGGTGCTGTGTGTATTCAAACAATTTAATTGTTATTTATTTGATTTAATATTATAAATTGGTATCCATTTGGTTTATACTGAACAAAAATAACTGACAAATCAAGTAAACAAAAATAATAATACAAAATAAACTGAAAAATTAAACAAAAAGAGACTAAAACTCTGAACATTAAGGCCTATACAAAGGTGAAGAAAAAAACACAATTTACAATCTATAATATATATATATATATCATGTATAATATATGTACATACATATATAGGTACTCTGTATATGTACTATATATGTCAACACTGCAAAAAAAAGGATACTAATAATAATAATTCTTACTTGCCTTCAGAAAATTATTCTATTTACTCTTCCCATCAAAAGCTATAAGTTTCTCAAGTTACTTAAAGGTTTTTTATGTTTTTTTTTTAAGTTTTTTAAAGTTTTGTGAACGTTTCTTTTTGTTTTGTGTGTTTTTTATCTCAAGTGTGGTTGTTGCTTTGCAAATACAGTGCGAGTTTTTCTCCCCTTTTGATTTAATAATTATAACAAATTCGAACTAAATGTCCTTAAAGTGTGTCGCACTGCATCTTACCTCCCCCCCCCAGTGATGTGTGTGTGTGTGATGTAGTTTTCCTTTGATTTTTGTGGCTGTGAGGAGCGTGGTGCTGCATTTCCTAGCTATAAACCCTAAGCGAATCCTTTTTCATTTCCCATTTTCTTACTTTCTCTCATTTTTCATCACCTTTTCCTTTGCTTTAAACGTACAAAAATAAATATCCGTATCCGAATCTGAAGAATTGAGATATATGTGGTTGGCTTTAGCTTTAAAAATTTCTAGAAAACTATTTTCTATATCAGAAAAGCAGCTGGGAGATTTGAAAAAAGTGAATTTTCCATAACCCTCCCAGCGACTTAATGGGGCACCCCTGATACTTGTCTTTTTTTTTTATATTTCTTTTCTTTTTTAGTTTTTAAAATTCCTGTTTTCTAAGGCCTAAAAACAAATAATAAAAAAATTTGATTAAAATTTTTATACTCGAGTCTCAAAATTTGGATTGTATATATCGGTAATATTCTCATTCATACGATTGCCCTCAGCGTTAGCATTTATCAGCGCAGAATATATGTTTGTGTTTAAAATGCAAAATAAATGTTTACAGGTTGATTATAGTTTCTTTTTGGAAATATATATATATAGAAAGAGAGAGAGAGTTATAGGGGGGAAAGGGTTATAAATAGAGACGATTACAGGGGGTGCTTGATATATAAAACAAGGTTTTTGCCACAGAAAACACCAAAGTTATGGATTTTAACTTGACAAATAAATTACTGAAAATATAGACAATGTTTTGCTATAGTTAGCTGTTATTTTCAACTGAAAACTGCTGAAAATATCGTCAAGCTATAGCGATACTTTGCCGATATTTTCGATAAATTATTCTGTCATCAAGGGAATTTCTGTGGCCACCCCAGATATGGGAAATAAAGTTTATAGGTTAGAGGTGTGTATATACTGGGTTAAAAAAAGGATCTCTGGCTGCAAGGGATCCTTAAAACGACATCGATAACGATAACGATACCCATACCTATACCGATATCAATACCGTTTCCTATCTTCATTTTTGTCTGTCTTTTGAGGCAGTTTCAGCTATTTTTTTTAGCTTGCTTCACTCAAGGTTTCTTCGATCCTGATTCCGATTTCTGGCTAAGGCTCTTCCCCTGGATTCTAGTCTAATCTCTTTCTTGTCCTTCTCCTTAATCGCTCTCTTCACACACACACACGCACGCCCAGACAATTCCTAGCTTGGCTCCTTAATCCTGACTTGACCTATTACTATCCCCCTTAACCCATTTCCCATTTCTCATTTACCTTCTCACTCCTCCTTTTCCTTTTCCGCCTCCATCTCCTCTTCGTTACAGAGGCTTTTCAGAAAACCCTCCGCTTGGCTTGGAAACGGACGTGATTAACCGGGACGCTTGGCGTCCTTCGGCGCTGCTAGTAAAGCTCTGTATGCTGGCGCACTGGCGCTGGGATCTTGGACATGCCCCTCTCCCGCCTGGGGGATACCACACTGGAGGCTCCAGCTGCCGATCCAGCTCCAGCTCCTGCTCCTCCTCCCGAATGATTGCTCTCACAAGAGCTGGCGGCAGAACTCCGCTTGGATCGAGCCTTGGCTGGCGGCGAGCAGCTCTCCGAACGCTCTAGATTCCCGCTGCTGTGCACCCAGGCCGTGGTAAAGTCCTCGTAAACGGGCGTCTTCTTGCCATTGACCTTACCAGCCACGGATCCCTGCTTGGCTTGATTCCCAGCCGCATAGCGCGACAGCAACGACTTCATTTTCTCCAGAATCTGTGCATCATTCTTGGCACTGCTGGCCGCCTCTAGAAGCTGCTGGGCCAGTGGCGATGAGGCATGATTCTTAACCGGGGATGTGGTCAGGGAACTGCTGCATCCAGCTCCGCTCCTCACGCGCCTGCCATTGCTGTCGTACAGGATCTGTGAGGAGCGTCCCTTGCCATTCCGCTCAAAGGTTCCCCCGTTGGGGGCCACAAAGGTGTCCGGCGTGCAAGTGGGTCGCCTTTTTGGCGCTCCTGCGGCAGCTCCACGTCCACTCCACGTATTGGTGGCATCTTTTACCATGGGCAGCTGGGTGGTGGTTTGGCGGGTGCGAGGAGGCGCCGTCGGCGCCGCCGCCGGTTGAGAGCTTCGCGTGCGCATCGATCGATACACCGGCTGTTTCCGTCCAAAGGCTGGCGCCAGAGTTAGGGCAGGCAAGCCCGAGGAGCGACTGCTTAGATCCTGGAGGCTGCCACCGGCCCCGCCACATGTGCTGTTGTCAATGCTTCGACGGCGACGTTGGGCCAGCGGTGAGCGGGGTATTTTGCTGAGAGCGGCAGCAGCTGGGGGAGGATGCTGCTCATGATCATGCTCCTCCTGGTTGGTCTTGGCCATGTCCACAGTGATCTCATCGTCGGTGATAAAGACTCCGGATTGTTCAAATTTGTTATTGTTGTTGCTCATTTTGTGGCTGCTGAGGATGGCTGGCAGGGATTGGGGGCCATCGCACACGGAGTAATCCTCCTCCTGATCATTGAGTAGCTCCTGGTGCTCCTCCTCCTGCAGCAAATCCACCGATGCCTTCTCCGCGGGCTCCTCCGAGGGCGAAATCTGCGAGTCACTAGAGGTTTGATCCAGACGCGCTGTAAAAGAATCCCCTCCAGAATTTAGCTGTACATCTTTAAAACTCCTCTTTCCCTTGACTCACCATTGGTCTCAGCGTCCTCGATGGAGGCCTGACTGTGCAGGGATTCGCGTTTCTGGGCACCCGACTGGATGACACCCAGACTGCGGTAGCCCTCATCGCTGATCTCGCTCCCATTGTCGCTGATATTCTCGAATTTGTTTTGCTCACCACCTCCTCCTGATCCTCCTAAGCTGGAAACCGCTGCCGAACCTCCATTTGGCCCGGTGGCCTCCTCCAGGGAGCAACTGTAGCCCACTGGCAGGGATTTGGGGCCACTGCTGTACGAGTCCAGAGAGCTCTGCTTCTTGCGCATGTCAATCAGCCGGCGGGGACTCGGCGACATGGAGCGTCGGGCCAGGCTGGGGGAACCACCCAGGAGCTGATCTGAGGTTACAGCTGTACCTGATCCTCCTCCTCCGCCACCATTTGGCGCCTGCGTCTGGTTGAGAAACTTGCGCTGGGGCGTTGGACTGCGGCTGCGATATTTGCCAGAATTGGGCGACAAACTGTGTCCATTTTGTGGCGGCGGTGGAGGCGGCACAACACCAGTTCCACTTCCAGTTGCGGTTGAGGTTGGTCCCGATCCTGTGCCTCCGTTATTTCCTGCATTTACAGTGTTGAAAACGCGTCGAGCTGTTGGCGGTGACCTGGGGGAAGGCAAGGGAATGCAGGGATAAAGTTAAAATCAAAGGAACTTGATTGAAATATCCATAAAATTAAGTAGATAATGTATTATTAAAATAAAAATATAAAAAAAATATATAACAAAATTTTAAAAATATAAAAATATATATATAATAATATATATAAAAAATTTATGAAAAAGTATTTATAAATAATAAATTATAATAAATAATATAACATCTCTTAGAAAGAAAATATAGCTTTTTAAGCAAAAAAATAACGCTAAAAACAGAATCATAATTTTTTAAAATTATATTTGGAAAAAATAAATTATTTAAAATGTATAACTCAGCGAAAAAGTAAACTCGGAAAACATTTCTGAATTAGTTTTTATAAGATTAATAAACTTGCTTGCGGAATTTAATTTTAATATTTCCTATATTTTTCTTAAATTAAAAAAATATTTTTTTTAAAATAAAAAAATAAAGTAAAACTTAAAAAATTCATAACTCAGCAAAAAATTCAATAAATTCAATTCCAAAAGCAGTTTTATCTTAGTTTTAAAATGGTTAATAAATCTGCTTACTAAATTTTAAAGTTTTCTCAATATCATTATTTTCAAATTTTTCACAATTTTAATGATGTAACCCCTTATCAAAATTTGAAAAAATCCCAAAAATTTAAATTTCCTTCAAACATGGCCAGAAAGATTCGCCTGTTAATGCTGATCAAGAATATATATGGTTTATAGGGTCGGAAATGATTAATTCACTTAATTTCAAACCTCTGACTAAAATAATAATAATAATAATAATACCCTGCAAGGGTACACATAAATATATAGATAATACAGAACTCTGTTCGCTGGACTCACCTCTCGAATATCACCTGCGCCTTGTGTAGCTCGATCCCATTGCTGGGATTATGATTCGGAGACTGGCGCGGCACCAAACGGGCAGCCACAGAGCTGCGATGCTGGGCCCGGCAGCGGCAGGGATCATGCTTGTCCAGATAATGGGACAGTGTGTCCCATCCCCCACCGACGCGCACCATGACGTGGGAGCGCAGGATCTTCAAAATGGAATAGAGAGAGATTCGGTTAGGAGATACCCATGCCCATCATAGAAGCTAGGGGAAGCTGCAACTTACCCGCACAAAGATAAGAACTTTGGTGTCGCCAATGCGATATTTGCCCTCCGATACCCGGACCATGGGAAACTGTGAGGGGCATGTGCACTTCTCCACCAGATCCCGGACCTGTGGAGGAGGAAATTATTATTAATATTATTTTAGAGAGCTAATTATTATTCCAAATGGTTTGATTGATTATAATATGTGATTTGTAGAGGAATATCTATCATTCCCCTTTCAGCGAAATGACCATTTACGCTGACCTAATGATGACAGCCCCAGTATTAATTTGTATTAAATTAATTGCTTTTATTTGCATTTAAATGTGCTTGAACCATAAAAGGTAAAAAACCAATTAAATGCATAAATTAAATTAATTAGAATGCAGAATTCAAGATTCAATACCCAGAGATGCTGTTTTTTTTCAGCTTTTTCTCCAACTCCCCAAAACTCCAGTGTCCATTGCCCTGCTGTGGCTCTGACCCTTAAGCATTGCATAAGCCTGACCCCTGGATCAGTTCCCCAACTTCCCAAACAACAACAAACTCCCTGACTTCTGCAGTGGCAGTTTGAACAGCAAAGGAGCAGCGACGACGAGCATCGGGGTCACCAAATAGTTTTTCACTGCATAAATTCACGCGCTGCCATTGTCCAACAAACAAATGATCCGCTCTGGCGCAGGGGAAACTCTCGGATTTGATCTGCAGAGAGGGGGAATCGCAGAGCAGGAGTAGGAGGAGGCCAAGGAGCTGGGCTATGGCTGTGGCTATGGCTACCCTTGCCCTAGGGAGAGGCAAGAGGGCCATGGGAGCCAGGTAAAAAGCTAGCCTGGAAAATGAGAAAAAAGAAAAGACCAGTCCCAGCGGGCGACAGCGGTGGCGGCAGCAGAAAAACAAATGACGACTTGGTCTGGTCTGTCTGTAGGTCTGATTCTACACTGACACAAAAAGTCACAAAAGAAAAATAAATTCAAAAACAAAAGTTGAGGTAAAGCCATAAACGGCTTAGGCTTGGGCGAATCCTTAAGGATTCACCAATGATTCCAATGGGGATTCACCAATAACTGCAGTGGGGATTCACCAACCCAACTCTCAATAAAAAAAGTCTCACCAATGAATAACTTGTCGCCTAATAGCATTCTTTGCAAATTACATTTTTAGGGGAATTTTTAAGGATTCACCAATGATTCCAATGGAGCTCCACCAATGACTGTAATGGCGATTCACCAATTAAATTCTTAATAAAAAAAACTGTATAGCATTCTTCGCTAATGAAATTATTGTAACATCAAAACAATTTAAATTATAGGTTCACCAATGACTCCAATAAGGATATTCCCATGTATACACTCCTTTTAGTGAGATTCACCAATGATAAAAATACACCAACGTATGGAATCATTAATATAATAACTTTTTCCTTATTCCTTTTAATTTCCACCCAAAAACATTCCCAGTGTGCGCTTCTGTCACCGCTTCATCTCCTGGCTTCCCATCCCAGGCCATCTATTGGCTCGAGACCCATTTGCTACTGTAGAGTTTTGTGGCAAAGCTCGATGGAGGAGCCAGGCAACGCATTGGCACCTTTGAACTTTCTGCAAAACTCCTCCAACGGCTGTGGGATGCGTGCTTAGGTGGAGCTGATGCTGCTGCTGCTGCTGCTGTTGCTCCTCCATCGCTTGTCCAAGCTCTAAAGCTCCTAGCTGGAACACCGACATGACAATAAATCTTTTGGCTGAAACGGGGGAGCGAGATGCCAGCGATGCCAGCGATCTGCCAGAGATCGGGGATCGGCGTGACTCTGACGCATACGAGATTAGCTCTGGCCATGGGATTGCGATGGGGATATAGCGATGTGGTGATCCTGGCCTAACCATAAATCGCATGCCAAGCGAGGCAAGCCAACAGAGGCATTGGCAGCGAGCGACTCCCAGACAGACAGCGATGCGGACGTGCCAGAGTTTTCCAGCTTTAGCTTCAGCTCCAGACTTTTGGAGTCGACAAATGATCGTGGCTGGTTTGGCTCTTTGCTTTTCATTTCTTTTCTTTTCAGTTAGTTTCCTTTTTTTCTGTTGGTGGCACATCATTTGATTTTCGACAAGTTGTTGAGGCTATTTGCTGATTTGGCTGCCGCTGCTGTTGCCGTGGCTGCTGCACAAATTGATTGGCTGCCTCCAGAGTTGGCTTGGTTTGGCGGTGGAGAAGGAGGAGAAGGAGTAGGAAAAGGAGGAGGAGGAACAGAAGGAGGAGGAGGAGGGTCCGTGTCTGTGTCCCGTGTCCATGTCCCGACTGCTTGTCCCATCTATCCAGCGACCATCCATCCCCCAGCTGTCGAATATTGTTGCCTGGTGCTCATGTTACTGCTGGCTTACTACACGGAAAACCACAAAAGGTGCTCCTAATATCTAACTATTTGGTAATTTATAATCATTCTGATCATCGCTACTTATTTCTTTATTCTTTCCATGTTAAATATTAGTCCAAAAATATATTGTACATCTTTCACCCCTGCTTTTACTATGGTTTTTTGGCCAAGTGTAGCCAAACTGCCATTGCTGGCGGCGTGAGGAAATGTTTGCATGGCTTTCATTAGTTTGGCCGTCAATGATTTCCATTGCGCACCGGCCTGACCAATACCGATCCTCATCCGATCCGATCCTTTGTTGCTGCTGCTGCTGTCGTCACACTTTGGCAATTACATTGACAATTGCAATTGTTGTAATTGTTGTTGGCACATCGTCATCTTGTCAAATTAATTTGACATCTCAACATGGCAGGCAGCACAGCAGTTGGGAAAACCCTCTCATAACACCCCGTCGAATAATATGTGGGTCCCAGTTTGAATTGCTTCTGATTTGTTTTGGTTTTTGGTTTTCGGTAACTGAAAACTTTAGCCATGGCTAAAAATGGACATGAGAAAACTAGCAGCAGTTACAAGCAACAACAAACGACACAGTCCGAGAGTCTGGGCCAAAACAATAACAAACAAAGTCGTGAGTTGGGACAAAGAGAAAACCCAAAAGTGGACATTGGTAGTGGGCATTGGAGATAGGGGATTAGGGACTGCCCTGAGGGGCGAAAGAAAATTAAAAAAAAAGCAAGAAAAAAAGGAAAACCTAGGCGAAAAGATGCGATATGAAAAGCCACCAAAGTTGTATCCTTTCTTTACAACGTAATCTGGTCTCACTTTTCTCACACTTCAATTTAAACACTCTCTGGTCTCACTGATTTCCGGTTCCCCCCGATATCTGGCTTCTATTTTGGTTCTTAATATTAATAGTAATAGATAGAGATCTTCTTCACTCACCATCTCATCGAGACTCTTCAGATCATTGGTAATTATCTGAGGCTGGGGGCCATACATCAGCATGGGATTCTCGTCGCCATCATCCTCATTCTCCGAGTCATCACTGTCATCGTAAAGATCAGTCTCGGAGCCCACCGTTGTGGTGGTGGTTATTGTCGTTGTCGTCGTCGTTGTGGCCATGCTATTTCCAGAGTTTATGGCTTCCGTTTGAGTTCCGTTCTCTGAGGAATTGGCCCCATTGGCCTTGATGTCGGCGGCGATCTCTCGATCGATTTGTCGCTCCATTTGCACGAGCATGGGTGCCAGCATTCCTGTAGGGGGGAGGGGTGAAGTCAATGATTTACCCGAAATAACAGAGAGGGGATTCTTTGGCAGACTTACCAAATTTGGCGCCACGTCGGGCCACCTCCAAAAGGCAGAGGATCACGTGCTTTTCGTTTTTTCGCATAATCAGATCATCCGTTTCGAACAATAGACACTCGATGATCTTTAGGCTTTTTCTGGGAGGATATTAAAGAAGAAGATAAATTGGTAATTGAATTAAATTATCAGAAGGAATATTGGTAGAAAGGTAAGAAATTAAGGAAGTAGTAAAGGAAATACTAAGGGAAGTTCTAAAGAAAGTTCTAAGGGAAGTTAAAAAGGAAATATTAAAGGAAGTCTTTAAAAAGGTACTAAAGACAGTACTAAAGTCCTATAAGAAGTTCTAAATGAAGTACTACAGGGAGTCCTAAAGGGAGTCCTAAAGGAAGTATTAAAGGAATAACTAAAGGAAGTACCAAAGAAAGTACTGAAAAATAGGCTAAAAGGTCTTGAATTGCTCTTAAAAGGTAAAGTGATCCCTGATCTAACTAAATCTTAAGTTTTAAAAGTAAATTCCCGTTTATATTAGAACTCACCTGCACCAGGTTATGAAGTTGGACACATTGTCGCGGGCAAAAAAGGTGCCACTCTTGGCGGCCGGAAGGTAATGGACGTTGCCCAGGGCAAGGATCGGCCCGGCTAAGCCCGAGGTCATCGAGCGGGTCATTGATTTGTTGCGTGCCTGACGCCGTGCTAGATAATCCTCCGCCGCCTGGCGCACATAGTTGGCGTGCTGCAAGAGAGAGAGGTAAAAGCGATTAGCATGTGGAAAAGCAGGATGAGGAAGATGAGCCGGAGGGCACTAGAAATTCCCCCAATGAGCACGGCACCGGCAAGTATTTTTATTTTATTTTGAAAGTGCCGCCAAAAATACAAAAAACTAGAAAACGTTTTATTTTTAAGCGCCTAAGGAATTTAGCACGGCATTTTTCTGGGGCTAGTCCCCTCCTTCTCTAATTCTCGCCGAGATTTGCCAGCCACAACCTGCAATGGGTGTTGAACGATCAACGTCGCGACAATACTTTTATTTTTGATAGTTTGTACATTTTGGGACAGATGGTAAAAGGGGTTATCTATTTATCCCAAGGGATTTTCTTTACTTAGAGGAACTCTTGAAGTTTTAAAGGTGTTTTTTTTTAACACTGCCGTAATTAACACACATTTTTGACGTTTGCTGTTATGTCATCCGCAATCCGAGATCCCCCGAGCCAGAAAACCCAACCCGAAAACGAACCCGTATATCCGAATCTGAATCAAGACGAAAGACGCAAGTAACATCAGCTAAAAGCCCCTTCAATCGTGTCTCGACGTGTCATGCATTCCCATTTTCATTTCCATTTGCATTCCCATTTCCATTTGCATTTGCATTTGCATCATTCCATATTCATTTATGCACACTTTGTTGTAATAATTTAATATTTAAACAATATTATTATTTCAGCTTCTTCCACAACCACATGCACGCACACATCCACAGATTCGTTTATGGATATCTGACAAATGCTTTATTTGGTGTTTATTGTTTCACCTCGCCATAATACCCTAACCCCAAATAAGGGCAACCTGCATTGCTGCACCGATGATGATGACGCTCCGCTGACGTTTTTTATTTTTCAACCCAAGGGTGAATACACAGAGAGAGCCAACGAAGCGGAGGGATACTGATTGGGATCAAGATCGGAAAATATCTCTTTTCTAATGGAGAACTCCATGGAGATGGAACCCTCTTGAATCTATATTAAAGTTGTTTTTCTTAAAAAAAAAATATCTATTCCTAAGTTAGTAAATAAGAGCATTACGACTTCGCTTTTTGCTTTACATGGCACTCTCCTTCAACTTTGTTTTCTGCATCTTCTTCCTCCACCTCTTCCTCCCCTTCCTCTTTTTTGTGGTGCTGTTATCATGCCGCCGCCACTCGCAAGGTAAGCTGCAACGCCCACAACAACCCATTTCGGCTACCCAGAGGCGTTAAATGCATCTCCCGCTCCCTCTGTTGCTCCCCCTGTCTTACTTTATACTCCCCTCCTTCCACATCCCATCGCCCTCTCACTCCCTCCTCTCAGCTGTGCTGCCCACGAAGTTGAAGCTCACTTTGGGCCTTGGTTTCACTTTGGCCGCAAGCAGCGGCAGCGGCAACAGCAGCAGTCGAGGCTACGCTTAGAACCGAAGCTCATACAGCTGTGGTTAAAGTAGTAGCATCCGATATTAAAAATCAGCATGTAAAGTTTATAAATGTTGAAAAATTATAGAATTATAGAATAAAATATTAAGAATTTTCAACTTTGCAACTGTCATTTTCAAGAAATTAAGTATACGCCACGTAGTGATGCTAGTTCGACAGAAAACATCGATGTCGATGCCCATCGATGTTTTCAAAATAGACCATCGATATATAACTTAACATCGGTATCAAAAAAAAACATCGAAAAACATCGGAAAATAGCGCTAAAAATAACATCGATGTTTGATGCATCGATGAATTTTGTAATAAATTACAAAGGGCTTATTTTTATATTTTCTTATGTCTGATTAAAAACTGAAAATAAGCTACCGTAGTAATTATATATATTGTTCTTATTTTTTAGATATGAAAGGACATAATTAAAAATTATATCAATATTGATGCTTCTATAGCACTCTTTCATTTTGTTTGAAATTATAAAAAGGCAAAAAAAAAAAATATAACAAATCTTTTATAGCCGTCTTTCAATTTGTAAGTAGTTATCCAGAGGCACAAAAAAATAATAAATATTGTGGAATCAGAGACCGGTGTTTCGTCAAACATCGATGCATCGGTTAACATCGACATCAACAAAAACATCGAAAAACATCGGAAAACATCGCTAAAAAAAACATCGATGCTCGATGCATCGATGTTTTTAGCATCACTAACGCCACGGAAAAATATTAAAATAAATTTAAAAAAAAAACACTAGTCACCTGCAACGGCAGGTATACCTTGTTCCTGTAAATATTAACTAATTTTTCGAATCTAAACATCATACATCATAATTTCGAACCACTTTTATGTCAGGAGAATCTCCCACTGGCGTATACTTGATTTTTAAAGCAATTTGTTTTAAAAATTAAGTATACGCCCGGAATAATTTTTCAAGCAAAATAAAACGATATTGTGTATTAAATCCAAGAAACTAAATAGTAACCAGCTAGTAAATACATTTCAAAATCTCAAACCTTATAACTTTAAACAGCTATTATTTAAATGAGAGATATCTTTCCAAATCGTATATCTTCGCTTCTCTTTCGTTAACCGCTGCTGTATGTAACACTATGCGTGTGTTGTTTTTGTTTGTTTTGCTTCTTCTTCTTCTTCTTCTGAATCTGAATAATGCATCAGAGTGCAGGCGCGCGACACAGACAGACAGAGAGAGAGAAAGAGATAGAGTGAGAAGGAGAATCATGAATATTTGATGATCGGCAGCATCGCATTTTCACTTTCGAAATTCGACAGTTGCCAGATTGGCGCGTGGTGTAGGTGGGAAAGAGATAGCGTGGAAATGGTTATTATGACATAAAAAAAAGCTTTCTTACATCAACAGCGCGTGGCACGTGCCACTTGTTGTTGTTATGGTAGCAAGTGCAAGTGCACTTTATATCGATAAATCGATAAGCATAAAATGCATTCATATTTAAGGTGCATCAGGTCCTTTGAGTCTTCTTTCAATAAACAAGTGAAGCTTTAATTTTGTTGGCATCGTTTCTTACTTCTTCTTGTTGCTTTTCTTCTTCGTCTTGTTCTTATTCTTTTTTCTAGCCTAGTGCCTCGACATCCGCATCCGCATCTTCAGAGTCAAGTGTCGAACCGCAATTAACATGACTTTAGCTTCGCGTTCTCTTCCTTTTCGCCCTCTTCTCTTGGCTCTCTCCCACTTCCCTGTCTTCTTAAGTGAATAAAGCTAGGGCCAGAAAGAGAAGGAAAGTGGGTCGACCTGTGACCGCCCCCTCTCACTCAATCTGGCCACGCCTCCCACTTCCTTCATATTGCAAATACGTGACGATGATGCGATATCCACGCACACACAAACATACACTAGTTACAAAGGTGAAAGAATAACAAGAAGAAGAAGCAGCAGAAAGGCGTAAGAGAGAACATTTGTGGGAGTGTGTGTGTGTCTGTGTGTGTGCGTGCATGCGTTACAGGTACACCGCAGGCTTTCGTTACGTTAGCCGTCACGTAATTAGCTTAGATTTTTGCTCTTTTCTTTTGGCGCTTTCTGCCTGTTCACAAAATGTGTGTCAATATGGCGTTAATAACATTACATGACAAACTGAAAGCACTTGCAGAAAAAGAAAAAAAAAAAAAAAAACAGTCAGCAACTGCAACAACAGAAAAGAAACGCTGTCGCATTATACCGTAACAGCAACGGCTGGCGACGTAAGCGCGGGCGGCGTCAACGTTAACGTCAGCGGAGCAGCGCAGCTCATTTTTTTGCTTCCGCAAAAAGGCAAAAATTAAATAAAACAAAATAAAAGCGCACACAGAAATAACAGCAGCAGCCAAATAATAAATAAAATGACATTGCACAAAAAAACAAACTCGAAAAAAATTGGGGAGAAAAAAAAAAAAACACGAAATACAAAAGCAAACGCAAATAAAACGAAACACAAATAAGTTAATAATACAGTGGAGCGTAAAAAAGCTACAATCTGATTGAAAGTTGTAAAATAAATTGATGAATACTATTGCCAATAAGAAAAGAGGAAAATAAAGAAGTATAAGCTACAAAATTATTAATTTTATTTGATTTTAAATAAATAACTTTGACTCTTAATCAGTTTTATTATTCTTTTTTAATATGTTTACAATAATAATGTTTCAAAATCTAAATTTTTAAAGTAATACAAATAGAGGAAACACTGTGCTATTTACATTGGCAATTACTCAGGCGTCTGTGATTCCTTTTGGAGTTTTGCTAAGCGGATTTGCCGCCGTTTCAACTGTTTATTTTTTGCTGTTATTTTTTGCCACCAACTGACTGACTGCCAGTCAGCGATTGATTGGCCCCGCAAGGAGGAGGAGGAGGGTAGGAACTCCCCCAAGCTCAATCACAAAACTGTCCGCGGCCCATTCACAATCGAAAAATCATATTTCTTCAGCGGCTTTGTATCTTTTTATCTTTTGTATCTCTGCGGAGTTTTGGGCTTGTCTCTTTGGGTTCAAGGTTCTCCCATGGCGATGACTTCCTACCATACATATAATGCCATATTTATACTATATATATAAATATATTGCTTTGGCAATGATAGATCGATCGCTTCGCTTCGCTTGCAAATGATTTCTGCACAAAGCAAAGCGGCGTCGGTGGCGGCAATGATCGATCTACAGCGAAGTTCACCTGCTCTCGGAGGTCTTTTGATCTCGCGGTAACGGTATTTCCATAATGCCCATAGAAGGCGTTCTTGATCGCCGTCTCCGCTTTGGTCTAGAGTTTATTGCTCTCTCTTTCTCGCACTCTTTGTTGCTGTGTGTGGGAAAACTTCACGGCAGCGACCCTGGAGATTTCGATAGGAATAGCAGCGATAGAACAGCGAATCGATGAGATCACTCTGAGTGCGATTATCGATGACAGGTTCTTCGAACTTTATATATGAACATACATGTTTTATTTTTTAAATCCACAAATAATAAGTAATAGTAAAAAAGAAAGAGATTTCGATAGCCAAATATATGAACATGTCGATGACATCACTGGGAAGGCAATGAAATATCAT